TTGAACAACACAGGATTGAACTGCATGGGGCCCCTTGTGAATTTTTTTCAATAAATGTATTGGAATTTTTTTTTTTTGAGATTTGTGACAATTTGAAGAGATTCACAGATGAACTGAGTAGCCTAGAAAAAATGAAAAAATTCAGAAAAGGTTGGGTCTGATGGTCAGAACGCAGTATATAATACATACGACATACAAACTATGTGTTAATTAGCGGTTTATATTACCGGTAGGGCTTCTGGTCAACAGCAGGCTGTGAGTAGTTAAAAGTCAAAGGTTACAGGCAGATTTTTGGCTGTGTGGGGGGCAGTCAGCACTCCCAACCCCTGTGCAGTTCAGTACATGTCAACTGTACCTGTCAATCCAAAATGATGTTATTTCCCTTTAAAGACAAATATCTCTACACAATAGTTGTCCCCATTGCCTCTTGGTTTTGGTTTTCCAGCTCTTCTGCCACTCCCCAGGGTCATCAAACTTATCGCCATGGGCGTCCTGAAACTTTTGAAGTGAATTAATTGAAATTTGCTAAAAACTTTTTGTTTGTTTGCTTATTAAAAGGAGTAGAAGAGGCTGATACAGAGTAAAAACCAGGTAACTCAATTACCAAAAGATCAGGGGACTTCCTCCCTCCCTCTGTCCTTCCCTCCTTCCCCCCCCCCCCCCAGCAATTCCTTTCCTCTTAATGACAGCTGCAACTATTCAGAGACTCCTAATCCTTTTGGCAGAGGACAGAAATGTTTAGAAAACTCCACTCTGGGTTGGCAGTTTCCCAAAGGGAAGATCCCTTTCTAGAATATTCCTCTCTGCCCAGAATGGGTGACCTTGCCTTAGCTTGGATTTCTTTTGGAGACATGAGGCTCTGCAGCTCCTTCTAGCCCCTTCGGCTGCCAAAGTGGTGTGGAGACCCCAGACCTGAGGGTGGCACTGTACCATGGTCTCTTGGCATCTTGGGGGTCTCTTGGAGAGACTGGGCTCTGAGGAGCTCATCATTCCTATTCTGTTGGCCATTGAACACACACATCCATTATGGGATCTCCTCCATTCCTGCCTCCAGTCTGTTCCAACACTGCAATTCTGAAGTTGTTGGCTATGGAAGATGGGATCCCTTCCAGGTTTCCTCACGGGCTCAAGGCGCTCCCCAAGTTCCCAAGATGGCCCTGTTCACAGACCCGGCTTCCTGGCTGGGACTCAGTGTTCCAGCTAAGCAGCTGCCCCCTGAGCAGAACTGGGAAGCAGAACTGGGGAGCAGGAAGGGTTCCTGAGCCTGGCTTGGGGGAGAGGGGCTCTGGGAACTCACCAGGGCTGCAGCAGAGAGCCAGGGTGGCCAGAGCGAGGATGACAGCGAGCTTCATGGTGGACCGGAGGCTGGCGAGTGAGGCGCTGGCCTGTGTCTGGATCGGGTGGTCTTGTGTGAGACATGCCCATCGGGGTGCCTTCTTAAATGCTCCAGGCTCTACCTGGAGGGGAGGAGGAGGGCAGGGCCTGGGCTCTACTGATGGGACCACACTATTTACTTGGGTATCAGCTTGATGGGAAAAGTAAATATTCTCTTTTCTCAATCCAGTTTCTTTCCTCATTGGAGCTGAGTTTACACAATGGGCACTTGGATGGGGAAACAGTGTCCTTTTTGGCTGCCACAAGGGACTCAAGTCAGAGGGTGTGGAGAGCCGGCCACTTGCGTCACTCTCATTGAGCCTGAGTGCCAGGCCAGTCCAGATCAACAGAGGCAATTGCAGCGTCCACCTGGACCCCTCACCCCAGGAGAAACTGAGGCCTAAGGCCCCTCACACATGGTGCCATGCGGGCTCGGGGCTCCTGATGCTCCATCGGGCTCCTGCCATTGCCTTTCCAAAGAAGGCGACCGACCGGAGGGTCACATGGACCGGAGCATCTCTGTGGTCAGACGCGGGGGAGACTCTGGACTGAAGCATGTTGACAGAGGAGGGTTTTCTCCAGAAAGCCCATGAGAAACCTGAGCCTCAAATCAGACTGGAGAATGTACTGGCCTGGGCTGGGTCTGTTGCCACCCCAAGCTGCTCTCAAGTCCTGCCCTCCTGGTGGTCAACTTCATGGGCACTTCCGGCCTTATCTTGCTTGACCTCTTAACGGCCTTGACCCTCTTGACTTTTTCCTTCTTGAACTGTTCTCTCTCCTGCGTTCCCATGGCCCTATTCTTCCCTGATTTCCTCCCTGACCGACCATCCTTGTTCTTTAGATGTTTATTCTTTACTGACTGCGCTTCCCTGTTGGCGGTTCCAGACTTCGGCCGTAGCCCCTTCTCACCTCCCGCTGCCACATCTGTGGCTGCTCCCGTCCTCTTCCAGTACCCGCGCCTCAGGACACAGGCCTGGCCTGCTCAAAGCCAACTCCTGATCGGCCTCCTGTCCCTCGCTTGCCCTCCTGGGCCGTCCTCAGGAAGGCCAGCAGAATGATCTTTCTAAAACCAGCTGATCATGGCAATTCTTCTTGGAACCCTTCGAAAGCATCCTTTTGCCAATGGGGCAAAATTCAAGTGCGATCTACAAGGCCTTTGTCCACTTACCATTTGAGCCTCATTCCCTCACTTCCCTGCATAGTGATTCAACCTTGTCTTCATGTTTGTGGATTCGGGAACATCCCATGTGTTTCTTCATGCCTTTCTACCTTTGCACAAAGGATGCTTCATGCCCGAATACACATCTTCTGCCTTGTCTCCTTCTCCAAATCCTGTTTGTACTTCAAGATCCAATCAACTGTTCATTCATTCATTCATTCATTCATTCATTCATTCATTCATTCTGAGCACCTACTATGTGCCAAGGATTGTGCTAGGGGTTGGGGGTTGGGGTCAATATGGAGAAGCATTGCCTGAAGCCCCTCCAGAAGAGCTTGTCACCTGGCCGTGAGGAGCATGGTCGGCAGAGAGCCTCTAGATACCTGTCACTTTGGGGTCTGCCCTGGGCACATAACACTGCCCCGCTCAAGGTCACACCCTTCCTGGGGCTGCTTCCTTCTGGCAGCCAAGCAAGGACGGCACTTCTGCACCGTGTGGAACCACTCAGGTGGGCGACACCGACTCCAGAGCTTCTGGCCCGGCCGGCTGAGATTTTGCCAGGCCCACATCGCCAGCCGGCTTTCCCTCTGCCCAAGCCTGCTGCGGCCCCTTCCCCACACAGTTACTATCCCTAATGGTGGTCTTACCCTGCAGATTCTGTCTCAGCATCGGCTTCCATGGCAGCATCGACCCATAGCAGGGAGGCAGAGATGGATGAGGCAGGCCCAGGTCCCTAATGCCGAGGAGCTTCGTGCTGGTAGTGGAGACTGGCAAGCAGGCCATGAAGCTAGGGGTGCTGGGGGAGCTAGGGGAGCACGAAGCAGGACATGGGGTAGAAAGTAGGTGGGGGAGTCAGCGGGCAGTCACTCCGAGCAGGTGACTCCCTACTGGCCGAGGGGACACCCAGCACCCAGGCCCTCAGGTGGGAAGAACCAGGGTGTGCCCGGGGAGCACAGAGGGGCCGTTGTGCCTTCAGTGGGGAGCAGGGACCCAGATCTTGCAGGGGCCTCCTGCTAAGTAAGGTCTCTACGCTCGCAGTCCTGGGAAGCTCTGGAAGAGGTTTCTTTTTTTAATGCTTTAAAAAATATGTTAGGGGCGCCTGGGTGGCTCAGTTGGTTAAGTGACTGCCTTCGGCTCAGGTCATGGTCCTGGAGTCCCGGGATCGAGTCCCGCATTGGGCTCCCTGCTCGGCGGGGAGTCTGCTTCTCCCTCTGACCCTCCTCCCTCTCATGCTGTCTGTCTCTCATTCTCTCTCTCTCAAATAAATAAATAAATAAAATCTTTAAAAAAATATATATGTTAAAATACACATAACACAAAGTTTCCCATCTTTATCACTTTTACGTGTACAGTTGAGTGTATTAAATCCATTCACGTTGGGCGCCTGGGTGGCTCAGTTGGTTGAGCGACTGCCTTCAGCTCAGGTCATGATCCTGGAGTCCCGGGATCGAGTCCCACGTCGGGCTCCCTGCTCAGCAGGGAGTCTGCTTCTCCCTCTGACCCTCCCCCCTCTCATGTGCTCTCTCTCTCTCTCATTCTCTCTGTCAAATAAATAAATAAATAAAATCTTAAAAAAAAAAATCCATTCACGTTGTGCAGCCGTCCCCACCCTCCCTCCCCATGGCTCTTTTCGTTTTACAAAACTGAAACTGTCTCCATTAGACACCAACCCCTTCTCCGTCCCCAGCCCCCGCAGTCTCCGTTCTACTGTCTGGCTCCATGATTTTGATTACTAAGTGCCTCCTCTCTGTGCAATCCCGCAGTCTTTGTCTTTCCGGCTGGCTCATTTCACCTAGCGTAGTGTCCTCAAGGTTCATCCATGGGACGTATTGCAGAATTTCTTTTCCTTTTAAGGCCAAATAATGTTCCATTGTATGTGCAGACCACATTTTGCTTATCCACTTGTTGGACACTTGGGTTGTGTCCACCTTCTAGCTATTGCGAATAATGTTGCAATGAACATGGGTGCACAATTGGGAAGGTTTTAATCTGGAGAGATGTGGTCTGATTTCCCTTTTGATGGGATGCCCCTGACTACTCTGTGGGTGGGGGCGGGAGGGGGAGGGGGTGACAGAGCAGCTCAGCAGAAGGGAAGGTGGGCTTTGGACGAGTTGATGGCAGTGGGGTGAGGGTTTGAGAGACACCTGGACAGGCTCAATGCTGGCTAGAACAGAGCGGGTGAAGCAGAGGGAGGTGACAGGGTGAGCTGGGCGGGTTTCTGGCTGGGACAGCTGGGCGCATGGGGGGCTATTTCCTGACAGAGAGAATTCATCAGGTGGAATAGGGTTGGGGATGGGGACCGAGTGGAGCCTTCTCCGACCTGCAGTTCCCGTGGCTGATCTTGCACTACTATACCCCTCCATTATGAGCTCCCCATATAGTGTTTTAACTGTGCGATTCTTTTTTTTTTTTAATATTTTATTTATTTATTTGACAGAGAGACAGCGAGAGAGGGAACACAAGCAAGGGGAGTGGGAGAGGAAGAAGCAGGCTTCCCGCTGAGCAGGGAGCCTAATGCGGGGCTCGATCCCAGGACCCTGTGATCATGACCTGAGCCGAAGGCAGACGCCCAGTGACTGAGCCACCCAGTAGCCCCTAATTGTGCGATTCTTTACTTGACTCTTTCATGTCACTGTTGCTAAACAGGGAGCCATGGCATGAATCACTGCAGGAGCCCTGCTCGTCATGTGATATCCGGAGGCCACAATGAAGCTCAGAGGTGCCTAAAGACGCTAAGAGCACCAATTCCAAGCTAGCCAGCCACGAGGACTCGCTGAGTAAGCTGCTGTTGTGTCCAGACAATGTAACACCAAGCAGCTGATCGATCAGGAGAGGAAGATCTTCTGAACTAAGAGGGGAATGATCTCCACGGCAGACTGCAGAGGGAAGAGAAACAACAGCAAGGCAGAACAGAGTAAAAAAATACCTGGATGAAAAAAGAGCAAAAAGGAATCCACGTAGGTAACTGCTTGTGTATGCATAAAAGCTCTCTGGAAGTAGCCATGGAAGAACCATGCGGGAGGGAGACTGAGAAAGGAAGCTTTTCACTTTCAACATTTTGGTGCCCTTGGAATTTGGAATTGTGGAAATACCCTATCGATTCGAAACATTTTTTTTTTTTTTAAGTAGGTTCCACACCCATTGTGGAGCCCAACACAGGGTTCCAGCTGATGACCCTGAGGTGAAGACCTGAGCTGAAATGAAGAGGTGAATGCTTAACTGACTAAGCCATCCAGGCTCCCCTCAAAACAAATTTTTTTAAAAAGATTATATTTGGGGCGCCTGGGTGGCTCAGTCGTTAAGCGTCTGCCTTTGGCTCAGGTCATGATCCCAGGGTCCTGGGATCGAGCCCCGCATCGGGCTCTCTGCTCAGCGGGAAGCCTGCTTCTCCCTCTTCCACTCCCCCTGCTGTGTTCCCTCTCTCACTCTCACTCTCTCTGTCAAATAAATAAATAAAATCTTTGAAAAAAAAGATTATATTTATTTATTTATTTGAGAGAAAGAGAGAGAGAGTGCACAATCCAGGGAGGATAGAAGGGGACGGAGAGAGAGAATCTGAAGCAGACTCCTCACTGATCGCGGAGCCTGATGCCGGACTCAATCTCACCACCTTGAGATCATGACCTGAGCTGAAGCCTAGAGTCAGAAACTTAAATGACTGAGCCACCCAAGTGCCCCTCAAAACAAATTTTTAAAGGTAGAACAGGTCTGACACCTGCCACAGCATGGATGAACCCTAGGGACATTATGCTAAGTGACGAGCCAGTCACAGAAAGACAAATGCGGTATGACCCCACTTATATGAAGACCTTAGAGGCGTCAGGTTCATAGGGACAGAGAGTCGAATGGGCTTGTCAGAGGCTGCAGGGGGAGGAGAATGGGCAGTTATCTTTGTTTCATGGGACAGTCTCAGTTTGGGGTGGTGAGAGTGTCCTGCAGGTGGATGTCCTGCAGGTGGTGAGAATGTCCTGCAGATGGATGTCCTGCAGGTGGTGAGAGTGTCCTGCAGGTGACCTGCACTCACACTGCATCACAGTGTGAATGTCCTTGCCACCACCGAACTGAGCACTGCAAAATGATTAAGATAAGAAATTTTGCTATATGCATTTTACCACAATTTAAAAAAGTAATAAAAGGGTAGATAATAATAAAAGAAAATGTAATAAATAATAACGTAAAATAAAAAAATAAAAAAGTGCAGAACGGGTTTTAGAATTACACTGAATTGAATCCCCGACCCATCGCTTACTAGCGGTATTATCTTGGGTCAAGTAGGTAACCCCTCTCTGCCTCAATTTCCGTGTCTGTACCGTGGGCATAATACTATTATCTGTGGCACATTAAGTGGTGCTGGCGTGGCGAACGTGCTCTGTGAATGAACCTTGCCAACTATTGTATTTGCCCATCTCCGCTGGGAAGACCTTTCAATTTGGAGTTTCCTTGTCCAAGTCTACACGTGAGTGACCAGAGCAGGGAAGCTCTCCTTCCATGCTCAGCCTAGCTCATCAGGAGGAGCTTTTCTTTTGTTCCAACTCCTGTGCTGTGTCCACCACATGCTGAGCTGCGAAGGCTTAGCTGACACCCATGTTCCTGACCTGACCCTGGGGCAAGAGGGGATAGGTGAGCTTACACGAAGAAAAAGGAGCTCTGAGGTCCACCTGTACATAAGCTGTGTCAAGAGGCTTAGAATACCCAGGAGTATCTTCATGTCCCCTGAGTTGTAGACTTGTAGAGCGAGGGTCTCTCCACGTGTTTTCCCCTGAAGCAGGGAGGGCTTCTGGACACATGGCGTGACTGCCTGGGGACACAGTGGCTGTGCAGAGAATGGCCTGATGAGTGTCATCAGGACAGTTGATCCGGTCAAGCATCTTAAAAATGCAGCCTTTGTGAAAGACTTCTGTCTGTGCCATCGAGGGCCGTCCGTGCTCTTCTCCACGGTTTGTTGGAGGGGAAACGTGCATGTCCTGCTCTTGTTCCCACCATCTCTCTCCGGAGGCTCCTTTTCTGGTTCCTCTGTTCCTCCATGTTCCTTCTTCTTTCCCCTCCCTCCCCTCCTCTGTATTCTCTCCCTGGGCACTCATCCCTGCTCATAGTTTCAGTTACTTCCTACGTTAAGACAACTCCCTAATTTTTATCTCCATCTCAGCGTTCTTAGAACTGCAGCTTTGACCATCCAATGCCCGCTAGACATCCTCACCTAAATTTTTCAAAGGCTTTCAAACTCACTTTGTACGAAGTCAAACTCATGATCTAAGACTGGTAGATTTTTCCCCAGGATTCCATATCTCAGCAAAAGACCTCACCACCCAATTGGTCACATAACCTGGAGACACGTCTTTGATGCCTCACCCTCCCTGGGGTCATCTTGACCCAGCCTCATATCCACCACCAAGGGCATGGGCTTGGACACAACTCTGAGAGTGCCCCCCTTGCTGTTCTCTGAGGGCCCTTCCAGATCTGTCAATCGACCACCCAGGTCCTTCTCTTTCTCATCCAACTCCTTCTGGGGCCGTCAGCTCTGGGCATCACAGTGGGCTCCTGAGGCTTAATTTATTTCCTTTTAGTTTATTTCCTTGGACTATAAGGCCCTATCGTTAAGCTGTAGAATTCAGCTTTGGGAATATCACAGATTCATGATAGGTTTATTTGAAGGGCTCCTTATCTAAGAGGTAAAAAGACAAAACAACAACAACAGAACAGCCCTCTGAAAGCTGAAAATACAAAGCTGTTCATTCTCAAAAGAAAAGAAAACAAAACCCCCACAATATGAAATACCGCCTTCCTCCTGGGTCTGACTCCATGATCCCGTGATCTGCTCTCTTGAGGTCAGCCCATCTTTCGGGCTCAGTTTCAGGTGTGTGAGTCACATGCTCGACCCGCTGGGGCACCCCGAAGCCCCCCAGTGCTGCCCCTACTGGGTCAGTCCCTCTGTGAGCTGGTGGAAGGAGTGGCTGGGGCCTGCGTGTCTCCCAGCACATCACCCACAGCCTTGGACTCTGTTCTCTACATCTCACCTTCATGGTTCCAGGCCCTGGGAACAGAAGAGCTGGCTCCTGGGTCGCTGAGGAACCTGACGTCTAACATCTCTCCTGCCATTAGGAGGGTCTGCCATGGCCCTTGGACAGTCAGCCCCTGCTGTTCTCGGGGCAGTGGCCTTCCAGGTATGAGGCTGGGGGTTTGTCTCAGTTCTGGGTGGGACCTGGAGGGCCACCACCAAGTGTCTTAAGGCAGGCTCTTCCATCCTGGTCCTTGGGAGAGCCCTGCTTGGCGGTGGGGGGTGTTTTTCTCCCCTGCCAGGGAGCCTACAGAATAGCCACTTTGATTTGCTGTGTGCAGTAGTTAGATAAAAAGTGTTAGTCAAGGCTCAGAGTTTCTTAGACTCTAACACCTGCTCCTCAAATCCTTAAACCCCATACACTGTGAGCTCCAGGCCAAAACCCTTGAGCCTGCCTTAGCACAGGGGGAGGGCAGGGAGCGGCTGTTTCCGGCTACACGGGGCAGTGACCCGGTCACTGTACAAGGAAACCAGTTTGAGGGAAGACAAGCTCCTTGGTTATTAGCGCTGTAGACATGGCAGTGAATGTGCATGGTTCCTGCCAGAGCCCCCCTCCCCCAGCCAGAACTGTACCCTGGGTTGGCTGTGCTTGTGTCTGTGTGAGCCCTGACCCCAGGTTTGCTGGAGCTTCAGGGGCAGGGCTGGGGGAGTGGCCAGGGAGTCTGCCTTGGAGGGTATGCCTGGTTCTGGCCCATGAGAGGAGCAGGAGAAGGAGCCTCAGCCAGAGCCTGAGGGTCCCGGGGGATCTGGAAGTCCCCCTTGGGGACTTGGACTATAAAACCTTAGGCCTGCTCGTCCTCCCCCGATATTCAAGGGGCTTGTGTGTGTGTGTGCATGAGGTCCCGGGTTGGTGAGTCATGTTCAATGCCCCTTGGGGAGCCTCTGCAGGCCCCATTTAAGGGTCTGGTAGCAATGGTGGGTGGGAAGGCTTGGGCCGGCAGGTATGGACTGGGACCAGATGTTCAGCCCCTGGGCCCAGTGCTTGGTGTATCCTAAGGAGCAGGAAGTTGGGGTGCCGCCTGTTCCGGCATTCGGCTGGCTGCAAGTCCCAGCATGGCCCAGAAAACAGGTTGGAGGCCTGGGTGGGCCCTTCTGATCCTATCCATCTGGCTGGGTTGCTGAAGGGGGACTGGTCAGGCCACAGGTTCATGAGATCAGCTCGTGGGGTCAGCTCATTGGGCAAGCTGCAGAATTCAGGCTCCTTCCACCCTGGGCTTCTGGCTCTGTGCTAGCTCTGGATGCAGCCTCTGAGCAGAGCAGATTTCCCCTTGTGGGTTTGGTTTATTCTCTTCCACCTTGGCGTCTCCTCGGGCTGATCCCTGCATTGACCCAGGAGGGCCTGGCAAATTCTGGACATTCCAGCCATTTTGGCCGCCAGCCATGATGCCTAGGACCTGTGAATTTTTTAGAGTGCCCCCCCCCCGGCTCCAAAATAGAAAAAGAAATCCTCAAAATTGTAATTAATAAGTGTTTATTTAGGTAACATCATTTCAACTAGCTTACTGCAACTCGGTTCAGCTATGACCTAGCTTTATGTAGAAGCAATAAAGTTTAACTGGTATGAACAAAATGCATAATGTATTCTCAGGCTCAGAATTATTAAATTTATACAAGCCCCTTCAAAAGTTTATAACCAAAATTATGCATAGTGTGAGAAGTGTGTATATTTTAATGTGTTTGATATGATGTGGGGTGGGAACATCAAAACTAGGAAGGTCTCACGTCCCGCTCTCCCAATGTTTGCAGCTGTGGGCCTTGCAGAGCACAAGCCACCATCAGAACAGGAAGAGAGGGATCAGAGCGAAGAAACGCCCCACTTTGTCTCTGGTCCCATCCTCTGATCTATCGCTAGAACGTTCCATTGGCCTAACCAACTGATATTCAGCCAGCGAGGGAGCCCCACTTTTGTAGTCCATAGGGGCAAGCTTCCTGGGGGCACAGAGCAGATCAGAGAAAGGCAGAGAACGGACAGGTAGGGTGAGGGTCAAATATAGAATAGTGGTATCATTCTAGACATATAGTTCTGGATCTTGCTTTTTTCACTTCATGTTATGTCTTAGATATCTTTTGAAACTTTGGCTCTTATAGATATACTTGACTTTTTTCAAATTACAGAATATCCCTTTGTAGGATGTCATATAATTTGAGTTCCCGGTACCTTATAGATGGAGGTCTGTATTTTTCCCAGTTTTTCTGCCATTACAAGCCGCACCCGGTGCCACTTGCTCTGGGGACTTGCCCTGTAACAGAGATGCCTGGATTCAGACCTGCTGCCGCTGTCGGGTGGTGCTAACTCTCCAGGCTGAAGTCTGTCTGTTCCTGCTGCAGAGGTCGGGGCTGGGAGATTGGGAGCAGGAGGGCGCTTGTTGATGGCAATTGCTCTGATTTCCCACGGGAGCCTTGGGCATTTTCCCGGGGCAAGTTGTTCCTCAGCCCCAGACCAGGGCAGGAGTCGGCAGAGATGCTGCTGGGGCTGCTGAGAGCATCCTCTGGGTACCCATTGCCTACCCCAGCTGGGAGTCGGACCCAGGCGTGAAGTGACCTGGTGTTAGCTGTTTCTGGAGGCTGAACCTGAGAGTTTCAGGGAGGGGTGGCGGTGAGTCAGGCGGTGACCTGTTGGGGATCAGAGCCCTTTCTTGGCTCCCCAGCCAGGCAAGCAGATGAGCTGAAACCTGGAGGGTGGGAGGGTGGAGCAGGCCTGGGACCTGGGGCTGTTCCCCGTGGAGCCTGGCAGAGCCGGCCGGTTCTTTGCTCTGGGACAAGCCCTCTTGAGGGGTGGGGACAATGGAGTTGATGGAAGTCCCTGTTCTGTGGGTGGAAACTGTTTTCCCTCCACTTTACAGGGCAGCTCTGGGGATTTGGGCTGGCTGGGGGGTTGACATAACACACAATACGATTCACTTCTTGCCCTTTCCCAGGAAGCTTGCTTAATTCTGCAGGTTCTTTGTTCGATGGTGAGTCACCCAGGTCCTACCTTTTGTGTCTGTCCTCTCTCCCCTTCCCTGCCTTGGGCCTGTTCCCACCCACAGACGTGGCAGTTCACCACTCAGGCCCCTCTGGGTGGGTTGTACGGCCCTGCTCTCGGCCGTCCTGGGGGACATGAGCCACCTTGGTCAGCAGACATGGGTTGGTCGGCTGCGTGGCTCTGCAGGGCTGCAGCTGTCCTAGATGCACAGGGTCGGGGGCGGGGGGCGGGGAGAAGACCACCTCGAGCTCCCTCTGGCTCTTAGTCTGAGGCAAGGGGCCTCCCACCCAAGAGGAGCCTGGTGGGCCCCTGGCTCTCTGTCCCCCAGACAACCACGTGTGATGTCCCCTCTGGGCACCACATCACTTCGGCTCCAGCGGGGTAAGGCCTGCTCTCAAGCAGAGGTGTCCACACAGTGCACTGGGGCTTCCCTTATTTATCTATCATCACCGTCTTTTTCCATCTATTTTTATTTAAAAAAAATTTTTTTTTTTTTATTCATGAGAGACAGAGCGAGAGAGAAAGGCAGAGGGAGAAGCAGGCTCCCAAGGAGCAGGGAGCCCGATGCGGGACTCGATCCCAGGACCCTATGATCATGACCTGAGCCGAAGGCAGACGCTTAACGACTGAACCACCCAGGTGCCCTTATTTTAATATTATCATTATTTTTTAAAGATTTTATTTATTTGATAGAGAGAGACACAGCGAGAGAGGGAACCCAAGCAGGGGGGAGTGGGAGAGGGAGAAGCAGGCTTCCCATGGAGCAGGGAGCCCGACGTGGGACTCGATCCCAGGACCCTGGGACCATGACCTGAGCCGAAGGCAGATGCTGAACTACTGAGCCACCCAGGTGTCCCTCTATCTATTTTTATAACTAAAATAGTTACATTTTATATTTATGTTTATATATTTTATGTAATATATATTATGCAATGCATATTTATCTCATAGACGTATATAACATATGTATTGCATATAATTCATAATATATAATATTTATATTGTAACTAGAATAACATGTAATTTATTCAGCTTTCATTCTGTTAAGGGGATGGAAACTTAGTCACGGTCATTCCCTCCCACAACCTCCCCAGGGTCATGCCTAACTTCTAGGCGCTTGTGCGGGACTGAGAGTCGGGGGGATTTGTGTCGGTGAGGGCATCCGGAGCTTGATGTCCCCCATCCCTAGCCCGTGATAGTACTGTTGTTTGTAGTGGTCTTATTGTTGTTTTTGTTTTTGTTTTATTTTTAAAGATTTTATTTATTTATTTGAGGGAGAGAGAGAGCACGAGCAGGGGGAGGGGAGAGGGAGAAACAGACTCCCCGCTGAGCAGGGAGCCCCACTCGGGACTTGATCCCGTGACCATGGGACTCGATCCCATGACCCTGGGATCATGACCTGAGCTGAAGGCAGACACTTAAGGGCCTGAGCCACCTAGGCGCCCCTAAATCCTCTTCCTGCCTGCACCTGGAGTGGGCTGCAGCCTCTGGTTTCAGCAGGGGCCACCAATGCTTGGTAATGCTTGCTCTTCTCAGCCAATCCTTTTCTGGGTGGGGGCTCTGGAAGCCTGGCTCTTTACACAAAACCAGTGCCTGGAGGTCTTTCCTCTCCTCCCAAGGCCTAGGCTTTTGAACTTCAAAAGCCAGGAAAAAGACTTCCCCTTCCTCTGCCTTCCTCTGCCTCAGCCCATCCTGGGGCCGCCTGAGTCAGGGGAAAAGTAAAAAGAGGAAAGGAAAACAAGAAGAAAAATAACATAGGTGAATGTTTCAGGAACTCTCCACTGAGGATCGCTGGCTTGAGCCTTGGGGCAGTGGGGTGGCACAGGGCTGCTGCATCCCTGCCCTGGTGGTGAGCCCCCGGGTGAGGTCCTGGCTGCCTCTTCAGCCCAAGGCAGGCTGCCGAGGCCCCGGACTCAGAGGTTCCAGGTGGTTCTCCACAGCTGCCTCTGGCTTGTTCTTGCCTCTGTGATCTGGAAGGGACACAGGGAACATCTGCTCCGCCTTCGATGTTCTGGAGAAGGTGGTCTCCGGACAGGAGAGATGCTGTTAAGTTAGGAGAGGTTGCCAAAGTGAGGGGCAGAGACGGCACTTGAACCCGGGCCCTGTGATGCTCTGCCAGGGGGTGGGGCGGGGGGCGCCCT